AGATTCATATTGATTGTCAACGGAGAGACGTATAGACTTTGCTGAAAGACTTCGTACAGTTTCAAATGTCAAAAGCAAAAAAAAAAGAAAATTTTTTTTTTATGAATTAGGCTAAAAGGAGAAATATAAAAAAAAGATTGAAAAGAAAATAAGCTTTTCAATAAAAAGAAAAGAAAATAAAATAATTTTTTTGGTTTTTTTTTTTTAATAAAAAAAATTTTTTTTGAAATGTTGACAAAAAATTTTCAATCAATTAATTATTGACTTTTTTCAAAATGGTCCTAACAATAGTCAATGTTTTAAGAGTCGTTAAGTATTGACGAGGTGAGATTGACTATTCTTAAACGCATTATGACTATTTAAAGAAGCGTAAGCGAATCGAATATTTACTATTGTTTGCTGTAGTAATTTGACTGTTTGATACCTTTGATCTTGATTGAATTTTGTGATGTTTTGACCAGGAAATTATTAATAATAATCAATTATTATGGTTATAAATTAGCTTATTAGCACTAACTAAGATATAAAGTTTTATATAGAAAATTAGTTTAAAATCTATAATTTCTTGCAGTTTTCACGTTTAAACTGCAAGTATAACAAAACTAAAAAAGAAAACAGAAAGCAGATGTTCTAGTGAAAGAAGTTATCCGGTTTATTCAACCGTAGTTTGACATCTACAAAATGAACTTTCTTCCGCAATATTGTTTATTTTTTTCGTATTTTTTTTCACTAATTGGCGAACTAATCTTTTTCAAATTAATCTAGTAAAGAAACAAGACGAATAGGCTTATTTACTGCAAACCTGTACGACGAATAAACGACATTTAAAAAGCTGATAATGAAAAGACAAACGTTTAAATTGTTACTAATGAACCAATTGTTTGTCAGGTCACGTTTTCAATTAAATAAAATAAAAGATTGAAGGTGTTACCAGAATTTTAATACAATTTTGAAACGATAGTTTTTTTTTTATACAAACAAAAAAAAACTTAAGGTTGAAGAAAAGAGATAAAAATATTAAATTGATTTCATATCAAAAACATTTACAAAGGTCGATACGAAATTGTTTGTAGACCAATCAACGCTGTTACAAACTTTGTTTGCATGACTGCAATTTTGCAGTATATTGTAAGTAGTTTGATTGGCAGGTGGAAGTTGATCAACAGTACTCTATTAAAATATTTGAAATCTACCGAAGAAGAAACAGTTTTACATAAAAGTCTTGTAGTAATTTCTTTTTAAGTTTGTTCTCTCTTGCAGTGAAATTACCTTAAGCTTTTCTAAGCCAAGTATATAACCATAAATAGCGGGAAATTTTCATCAAAGATAAGTAGATGCTCTACCGCTTTTTATGTAATAAAATTAAAAATAAAAACAGCAATAAACAAATAAAAAAAATCAAGTAGAGTAGCATCAGTAAACAATCATGAATAAATCATAAATAAACACGATCAGACGTTGATCGTGACCGCATAACAGGGTTCGTGTCACTTCACTGCATAATTTCATGCATGAATAATAATTTTATATGCAGACATAAGAGAATAAAGTTCGCCCTACGAATCTATTTATCGTTTACACGTTCCGCAATTTTATTATTATTTCCGTTCTCTTCCTTTTCTTTTTTTCCACGCTCTACACAATTACTTTTTACTTTTTCTTTATCTCATTTTTATAATATCGATAGAGGAGATAGCGCATTACCATTATTACTATTATTGACGTTATTTTACCCGTTCAAGACTTAATACTTTTATTAAGTTTCTGCTATGTATCAAAAGGAGTACTTGAGCTGAGTTTAAATGGCTAAATAGGTAAAAGGGACAGTACTGAATTTGCATAAACAAAAGAAAGTTACTAATGGAGTAATTTCACTAAAGATAATGTCATTATTCACAATGAGACGAAATAATGCATTCTCTTCAATTTAGATTATTCCCTACTTAATGTTTATCTTTATTTAGAAGATGCAAGAAAGAAAGAATATCATTGTCAGAGAAACTATACAATTCTATTCCTAGAAAGATAAGGGACCCTTTTTCTTTTAGGTTTATTAATAACGTTTAAAATTAAATGAAGTATAGTTAATTAAACGAGATGATTGGATAAGGATTTTTGATAGAAACTGGTTGGATAAAAGAGTAACTAACTATTTACTATAATAAATATTCATATACACCGAACGCCAAACTAGCACCGACAACCTAATCCATTTCAAATAAGCGTCAATTTACAAAGCAATACTTCTACCAGATTTCTACAGGCAAATACACTTTTCTTTACTAGTTTGTCACTGTTTGCCCGAACTAAATACAAGCCAAATCTGCATATATTTACCTCTCATTCTCAGTATTACCAGAACAAGACCTCTTCCATTCATCCCCGTATTGATTATACCATGCAATTGTACCTCCGACCTTCTCTTTTATACATTTTTTCTTCTTTAATCTAAAGCTAGGTTTAAACTTTTCCTGCAGAGTGTTTTTTGTATTTTCATTTTGAATGGCTATTCCTGCCGCCTCTTCTAGTTTTCTTACTCCATTCTGAACGCGATTTTTAAAATTTTCTATTTCAGCCACTTTTTCCATCTTCTTCTTATAAATACAAACCGGTTTGAGCAGCGATGACAAACTAATGCTCTTCAACATGGACCGATCACGTGATCCTGCCGCCGTGGTTGGTTTGTACGAACTGGCGCCGCTCTCTTCGCCTTCGGAATGATAAACTGTTCTAAATCGAGATAAAATAGTGGCGCTTTGAAATTTTCTCCTAAATAACAAAAAAGAAACCTAAATAAATGAATGTTAATAAAATAATCTATAATTAAATAGTTAAATATCTATTGTAAAAGAAAAATTTATGATTCTCTTCCCCTATCCGAAAAAGAATATAAAAAAAGACTCCTTTTGATTGTGTTTTATTGGATTTATGGAAGAAGAGTTTTTCTCTCTACTGACGGTTATAAAGTTTGATGGTTAAATGCAATGTGAAGATAGGCTTAAGATTTTCTCGAAGATTTGCTTTCAAAAAAAATTTATACTGGAAACATAATGTATAAAGAAAAAATAAAACAGCAGACTTTTTTTTTAAAAAAACAAAAAGAAAAGAAATTATTAAATCGTCCAAGTTTTTTTTGTATCCTCATTTGAGGTGTATTAAAAAAAAAGGGGGGGAGGGAGATAAGAATGGAAATAAAGTCTTTTTTATTATGTACTCTTATTTAAGGGAAATTTCAGCTTTTCAACAAAAATTTCCATTACTAAGAGGCAATCTAAACTCTTCTACTGACAGCTATCGGAGAAAAAGATAAGTTCAAAACTTTTTTAAGACTCATTTGTGAAAAGATTGATCTAGTTATCCTCTTTAGAGAAAGAAAAAATTTCCATACGACCGTGTTTTTAAGGTTCATTCTTTGTTGCGTTGCCTAGTTCCTAGTTATCTTTTATGAAGAAAAATACAAGTTTTATATTCAATGAAACACGAGTATTAAACAATAATTAACATTTTTAAATTAGTTTTAATTGAACGGATAACTAATATATTATAGTTCAGTAGATGGCAGCATCTATCAACTCTTTTCGATCAGGGGATAATTTATATACATGGAAGATCATTTGTTAGATAAGGAAGAGATAAAATAGTTTCATTTCCCTATTGACTTAAAGTAATATAATAAACCTAGATCATTAAAACTTTCAACTTTGTCCGTCAATTACTAAAAATCCGATTTTTTACAAGCCAACAATAACAATTACTTAGGCTACAAATAAAAATATTCTTAGATTCATCTCTTTGCAGATATTTAATAATATATTCATATTCTTCTTATCATTTAGCAGAAACATTTTATTTACGACGCTTTTATCTTATATTATTCTGCAGCTCCATCTGTTACATGAAGTGGAATTTATGACCAAAATAATCCTTCACTACCAAGAAATCCCCTCCTGAATTAGGCAGTGTTAATTTCTAGCTATTTTTAGAGATTCATTTATCTTAAACTTAAGGTATAGTAGTATTCTAATTATTTATTTAAATGTAAATCTCTAAATAATTGTATTTTTTTTACATATTCTGTCTTCTTCTCCTCCTCCTCCTCCTCCTCCAACTCTCCCTCCTCCTTTTTCTTTTTCATTATAAGTTAAATTTAGTTCAATGTCATGTAAATTAATCAATTTTTTTATGAGGCCATAGTTGAGTATGGCTGAATATCCATTGGCAAAAAGATTTCAGTATAGTTTATATACCAAAAAGCAGAAGCATAAGTACGGATTATTCATTCTAAACTATATCTCATTAGTAGTAAGCGCCCCCCTCCCTTAGTTGAAGCTTAAGTCTTTTTTTCCTACAAAAAATAACCCTTACTAGAGAGAGAAAGATAGAACATGTGTGTATGTTGAAAGAGAGGGTGAGGTTTTGAATGAGAAAGAATAGAGAAAGAAAAGAGAAATATATTTCTTCAACAATTGATAGTTTTGAAAGAATTTTCTCAATTTACATTCTATTTTTTGTTGTCAATTTCATTACTTTTATCATTTATGCAAGTAAACTTGTTTTAAAGAAACCATAAATTATATAGAATAGAATACAATATATATATTGGCATTACCATAATGGTCAACTTGTAATAAATAACATTATTATTTAGTTTATATTAATATTTACTAAATTAATACAAAATACAAATTGATTCTTTGTTATTGTCATTCAAATGTATACAACGTATGAGAAATGCTTGTGTACTATTAGCAATTTTATAGTATATACAATATAAATTTATTCATTCTTCTATTTTTAGTTAGAAAACCTTTTACAAATGATTTTCTGTAATTAATCTATTTTTATCATTTATTCATTATATAAATATTTATTAAAATAATTTACACTCAATATATATAAAGGAAGGAAATTACCTGAAATAGTTTTATATGGCCTGCTGGACAAATTGCTTTTATTTAACTACTTTTAATATATTTGCTATTAAGAATTCAGTTTTATCTTATGAAAGCTCTACTATTCGTTTTCTATAATTTTTTACTGTACCACTGTAGCTTTGAAGGTAAAATTGTAAAAGTTTATTAAAATATTTAATGCATTAATGCAGAAAATTATATTTCTTAGATGAGAATTGTTTACAGCCGGCTTTCAAATTTTATCAAAGTTTAGCAACTGTCTTGAATGCTAGTCTGGCTAAAAGAATTCTATTATTTAATGAAGATAACTTTGAAATAAATGAATTTATTGACGAATTATCTAAAAATGGACAAACTGTTGAGAAGTATACATGGAATTCTGAACCTTATGTAAATTTAGACCATTATATTCATTATTATTCTGGCAATCTTAACGATACAAAAAAAGCACTGGAAAGGGTAAATAATATATTATATTTTATATCAAATAAATTAGGATTATAGATAATTCTAATTTAATTCAGATTAAGGATTATAAGATTATAGGACCTTTGTATAAATGGATATTCTATGTTAATAATTCAGACTATGCCAATGTTTATCAAATGTTTAAAAAGTCCTTAAATCCTGGAGATAATGTTTTATGGCTTTTTCACTCTGGTAATAAGATTTTAATTAAACAATGGAAAAATATATACTTTAGCCAAATTGGATATTGTACGAATAGAGAAGTAAGATAAGTTTCCCTCTTAAACATATGATAAGTCTCTTTCGTTATAAACAAATAAACAAACAAATAAAAGATATATTTGACAAGTTCGCTATTTCTACCATTTACGGGTTTTTATGGAAAAGAATTTACTGTTGCCCTTATGGAGGTTAATTAATTAATTAATATTTTTGTTTGAATAATAATATTTTAAAATTTAGTTTGAATATTTTCAAGTACGAAAAGAATTTGGTGGCAGGGTATTGTATTTTGGTATTTTCATTGATATACTTACTCTATTAGCGGAGCGTTTAAAGTTTAAATTTAAAATTATTGAACCTAAAGGACCAAATAATAATATGTCAATTGATGATATGATGCAATATATAAGCCAAAGAGTTAGTATACTTTTTAAAAAAATTTGAACTTTAAACCACTTATTCTAATCCTTAGAAAGCTGATCTTTCTATTGGACCATATAGAGTATCAGATGATGGAATGAAAATTGTTGATTTTCTTACAACGTTTCACCTAGAAAGTTCCGGTTTACTTTTAAGAAAGCCTAATGCCTTTCAATCCTTCTACTTAACCAAACCATTTAAACAAGAAGTTTGGTTTTGTTTCGTCTGTTTCATAGTCTTTTCAGCTTTAGTCCTATTCCTATTTTCGCGTATAGAATGTCAGGGGAATATAAAGTTTAATTCTATTTTTAATATTCAGGCATTTAATACGTTTAGATTTTATCTATGGTACACTGTTGGAGCTTCATTAAATCAAGGAGGCAAAATACTTCACGATAATAAACCTTGGGTTAAAATAGTTATTTCCTTTATGTGGCTTTCAATTGTAATACTTTTAGCTGTATTTTTTGGTAATTTAATGGCTTTTCTAGGGGTGAAAAATTTTAAATTACCCATAAATTCTTTAGAAGATGCTTTAAACAATGAAAATTTTGAACTAGTAACATTTGAAACTAGTGACTATACATTATTATTTAGAACATCAAAATTAAGCCTGTTTAAGAGAGTTTGGGAAAAACTAACAAAGAATAGAAAAAAGTATATACTGCCTAGTATTAGAACATCAATAAGTAGTTTAGAAGAAGGTAAAAATGCTTTAATGAATGATAGAAGCGTATTAACTTTTATGGAAAATGTCGATTGTTCTCTAACAACAACTCCAAAAAAGAATGATTTCGCATATTTCCCAACATCTTTTATGGTCCCAAAAAATTCACCATATCAACGAGTCTTGGGAAGTTCTTTACTTGAAGTTTGCCTAGATTTCGGATTTAAAATTGCCATCTTTAAAAACTATAATATAGTACCGAAACCTACGAAATGTGATGTAACAAAGTCTCTCTCATCAATAAGCTTAGACATGATTCGACCGGCAATATATCTATATGTGAGCGGTGTTGCGCTATCAATTGGTATCTTTTTAGCAGAGAGATTAGTACAGTTTTTGAAGACGGAGAGAAAGAATAGTGTATATCCTTCATCAGTAGAGGGAAATTGAATTATATCAATTGCTAAATTAATTATTAACTTAATGTTGTAACTCTGAGTCATAGAACTATTGATATATTTGCTTGTTCCTTTTCTTTCTCATTCACTAATTGGTTTCTGTTTGTATAAATTACTGTGTTACTTTATGTTACACAACTGCTATTTGGAAAAATTATCATAAATAACAATATGCTCTATTTGTAGATGTGTTGGAGAAAATTTTAAAAACTAAATTAATTAGTTTACTTACCGCTAGATGGCAGTAGACGTATCTTAGATAGACAGATATAGGGGAATCCATGTATATATTATAAAAGATATACAGTTTAAGCGTTTATAGATACTATTTACATAAATACATATTTTTTTTGCTATCCCATCTGAATTTGAAATCAAATAGGGGAGATAAGAATATTACAGTTGAATTCTATTATGATTAGTTTTGCAATTTCTTTCTGACTAATACAGCATTTAGTAAACTCGTTTCACGAAAGATGGCGTGATATGATGCTAGGTAAAAGGAGGAATTGCTAAAAATTTAGCTAAAACAACTTTATTACTGAAGATTATGTACTTAAAGATAAATATACTCTATTGTTTTAAAGTTTTTACCTTCAAAGAAGGATTTTATAGGTTATAACCTGATAGAAAATCTTTCGAGTACTGCAAAATTGACTAAGTGAAATGAAGAATAGAAAATCTGTATAATGTTTCTTCCACTTCGATTTCTTGCCTTAGTTTCCATATTTGTAAGCTTTGGAAATATTTTTTTACGCCTCACATCATAAAACTGCACCGAACCGCAAAACGTGGTTACAAAAAAGTTGTACAGTTGCACTAAGACGGGAATACATGCGAAGATAACTAGGGCAGTCGACAATGCTAAAAATGCGTCCGATTAGAAGCGTCTCTTTTTCGTCGCCTTGTCGAGCATAATGAACGACTCCACAGAGGCGTCGCTTCATCTGAATGTCCCAAATGCGAAGACGTCTGGCAGCCGTCGCTGGAGAGTATGCATAGTAGTACGAAATAACAGTCCTAGACTTTCTCAGACGCCCCGGAAATGAGTGGATTTGACAAGATATTAGAGCTTTGAAAATAGTCTTATATGAATTTTTTCTGCGTCATTTCACCGAAAAATTGAGCGGCTCTTTTGTTGTTTAAAGGCCTACTTAGATAAAAGTAACGCCCTTCCGATGGGAATTGATTGGTTGATATGGCGTAAACAGCGTCGTTTTAGACGCTTTTGGGTGGTAAGAGATAGTAAAGAAAAGGAGAGGATTACTGTCGAAGCTTATATTTAGAATTATTTATGGCCCTGAAATAAATAAAACAACATGAGTCATTTGCATTTTTAGTGATACCCTAAAACTTGTTAACATAATATAATCAAAAGAAAACATTTTTCAATAAATAAGATTTCTTATTGAAATTAATATCGGCCATAAGTATTGTAATAAGATTATTTACGTCAACCGTATAAATGCTTAGGCTTAAGCGAGTGACGCTTTTGGAATGCACAAGATAATGGAAGCCGGTAAGAAGAGTGCATCGATCAAGCGAAATTAATGAATATTGGTATATTCCGAAAACGACATTCTCTGAGTCATCGTAGCGTACGAGACTGTTATATGTACTATATATAAAGATAATATAATAAGCAAATTTACAAAGAAATTATCGGAGGATGCAAATAGAAGAAAAGCGATTTATCTCATAAGGAAAAGAAACTAAATATATATATTTATAACACGTTAATGAATAGTTTTGAAGCTTTCCAAGTAGTGGATCAATTTAGTTAATAGGCGTATCTTTCAACTCGCCTTAGAGCGTCATTGTAAATTGCGTAACCTTCATTTTGCAGTTGATTACGCAGAGAAAACGAGCTAGAATCGCTTGCATTCCTCTGAAGGTTATACAAAGATAAACGAAGAAGAGTACTAAGAGACTAATCAAGCTTATAGAAGAGAATTATTAATGAACAGAGAAAGATCATGGCACCATCAAATTATCTAATGAATCATTTCATAACAATGTTTCTGATTCATTAGAAGACGAAAAAAATATTAAATAAATTATTAATTTTTCACAAAAGGGCGCAAAGAGAAGAAAAAGAATTTTTTCTTATTAATAAAAGAGACGCTCTCGGGCAGAACAATCAAAGAAACGCCCAATTTGATACTTATATTACGTTATTCTTTTCACTATAAGGATAAGAAAGGAGGGGAAGTGGGATAAGCCAGAACCTTTTACCCATCTTAATCTACTAATATATGCTTCATTCATAACTGCTTTAAGGGACTAATAATTTCATATAACCGTTAATTGTATAATGAAATCACCTCTACGTAACTCATCTAATTATCGCGTTCAGCTATTTTGACAGGAACGGGAAATGACTGCATGACGTCTTCTCGTTAGCCTTTGATGTGATTTTCTCCTCTTTCTCTCAGTTCTTCTCTTTGACATTTATACATGAACTATTAACGTTCTGGAAGGTTAGTTAGCGATCTTGTTGGTTGTTAAAATGCTTTACGGTATGTCTAATTGTTAAATGTTAAAATTGTCACAGTCATTATAACATCAATAGTCGTTTTCATCGGTTTAAACAAATGTACCAAACCGTAAAATTTCACTCAGCAAAAAGAAGGGAGGGGGCGGAAAGACAAAAAAATTGTCCTCATAAATAAATTCTATTCAAATAAGGAGTTTTGTTGAAATTTTAAAGCAAAATGAATAAGAAGAGGAAGAACAAGAGGAAGAAGAAGAGAAGGTAATGGAAAAATTTTTTTAAATATAAAGTACCATATTTATAGTCAAATGCAGTTTTCGGCTTAAGCTTCTAATTCTTGTTCGGCCGATAAAAAACGAATATACGACCGCTTGTTAATGGAACATAATTCAAGCTGTGAAGGGCCGATCAATGTCGAAAAAAGCGGTAGCGTCTCTTTCTTTTATCACATGAATATAGTCAACGAAACCTATATTTTGATCTTATAACATAGCAATAGTTAAAATTGACATGCCAGGTGTTTATGGGTGAGATATTACTGTTTTGCAGTTGTTACTTGTCACGCACGTCAATTAAACTAGATCACGTGACCTAAAAATTTCCCCACTTGATCGCGCATGCGCAAACGATATCGAGGAACGGCAGTCGATCGCCAGCTGCCCGTTGGTGAGGTACTGAGAAAAACTGAAGTAGAAAAAAACAGTCTATAGAAGAAGAAGAAGAAGAAGAGAAAAAGCCACCAGATCTACATAAGAGAAAACTAGTTCTTCACATAGTTACTTTTATGAAAAGGATTTTTTTTTCAACTATTGAACTATTGAATAATTGAATAAAAGGGAAATTTTTACATCGAACTCTGTTTAAGGAGACTTTTTTCATCTATTTGCTCTTGATGTAATAAGGAGAGAAACGTTATGGTTTATATGTTATCTCTTATCCACCTTTGTGCTCTGCTTGTTTTTGCAACTGGAACGAGTAAGTCTTTTGTTTATTTACATTCGAAATAAGTGAGTTTATTCTACTCTTTTTATATAAAAATCGCCTTCTTTGTCGGTAGACGATTGATGGTTGAGATATAGAGACTTTCGTTTTTGAAATTTGACAAGGGTGTTTTTCTTATATTTTCAATTTTAGTCTTAAGATAAAATCTAAAATATTGGCCTTCTACTTCCCATTAATATCATTCTATTATCACTTTATCTATATAAAAACTTATTATTGCCAAAATAATTAGTTAATTATTCAATATAATTAAATTTATTCAATTTCGTCTCCTTTTTCTTCTCCCTTCCTATCTATTTTTCTCTCCTTTTTCTCCCAAATTAAATAATTAATTAATAAAGTAAAAAAAACCCTTTAAATAAATAAAAAACTTTGGTCAAAGTATATTTTTCTCTCTCTCATTTGAGTTACTCGATTTCTTGTCTATTACGTATCTAATTATGGTAGAGATGCTGACAATAACTTTTGAGTACCAGCACCTAAGTAATTGTGAAATTAATAATTAGCATTTTTTTTTCTTAAAGAACAAAAACACAAATTACTCTTTCCTTTTCCTCTATTGTTCTTCATGCCTAATTAAATGTAATTACTATAAACTACTGCAAGAGTTATATGACAGAAAATTATACACGAAAGTCATGTAAATATAGGGCAATTTTATCTATTATTGTATTGATCAGTACCCCATGCCTTATTAAGCTGTTGAAAATGTATAAATATCTGTCTATGAGGAATTATACTCACCCTGTATTCTCACAAAGCAAGGTGCACGTTTGCAAAATATGCAAATGTATGTTTGCATTCAGTCATGGGGGTTTCTTTTTTGAACATTGTTAAATAATTTTATTAATATTTGCATAAAGTTGCAGAAGGTTGACCTTCTTATAAAAAATTGCTGAAAGGAGTTTTTTCTCTCTATTTTTCTTTTTAAATATAAAATATTTCCCCTTTTCTGATCGATACTAAAGCAATTTTAATACAAATTATCTCTAAAGTTACCTATTCAATTAATTATTCAACCTTTTATTTACAACTTGTTTATTATAGTCGTCATCCATTAATTAACTAATCTATATTCATTTTCTTAATCAGAAGATTACCTCAACGATATACGATATTATCCGTAAATCTGCCCAATTTACCATCATTAAAGACTATTTCGCACACGCGCCTATCACGTGACTATATGACCCGCGACAACCCATTAATTAGTTGGTGGAAAGGAAGTTCAATGTTTTTCAAACAATAAAAAGGGACGGATAGGGACAAAGAAAGTTGTACAGATTCAAGTACTCTTTCCCCATATTTTTTGCTAGTATTAAACTTGCCCTTCAAATCCAAAGAGGGTCGTTCGTAACTAGGAATTTTTGCAGAAAAATTGCCCGACTGGAAAAAAAATCCGTTAGCAAATAAGGGTTCCCTGTGTCAATGGGGGATTTTTTTGCGCAACGACGTTGTTACATGATTAAACGAGGCGCCAGGTGCGTTCCAATTCT